ATCTATCTATCTATCTATCTATCTATCTATCTATCTATCTATCTATCTATTTTTTTAAAGTTAAGCACTAGGGATAACTTTACTTACCGCTTAGCACCACCAGCATCTGGTGAGACAATAATAGAATTCTTCCATTCTGGAATGTTTTCTTTAATCCATTTCAAAACGGCTGGTTCAGCATATAGATTGTCCACGGGGATATCAAAGAAACCCTGGAATAAAACGGAAATAAAATACAAATTAATTATATATTCAAATGCGTATTCTTTTGGAAAATGGCCAAGCAATGGTTCGAAATTGGGAATCTCTATAATCAAAAGGAAATTTTTTGAACTGGTTTGAAACCCCAATTATTTTCTACAAAAAATCCCAGCAACTTTTTTATTAAACTTCTAAAAATACGAAACAAATTAAAAATTATTTAATTTGCCAATAAAAAAATATATATTTTTTATAAAAAAATATTTTTTAATTTTCCAAATTAAAGATATAAAAAAAATGCCCAAACGTTTAACAACCGAAGAATTCAATGAACTAAAATGTTGGCTTCAAGAACTACAAGTGACCTATAAAAACTTAAATCGCGACTTTTCTGATGCTTTACCCGTAGCAAATTTACTTAAAACATTCTATCCCAAACTCATAGATCTACACAATTATCCACCACGTAACAATACTCAACTGAAATTAAACAATTGGGAAACTTTTAACTATAAAGTTTTAACCAAATTGGGTTTACAGCAGAATAAAAATATGTTGGATAAATTATCTAAAGGCGTGGCAGGAGCTATAGAGGCTTTACTATATGATATAATGCTTATGATAAAAACGCAAAAGAGTAAAGGTGATAAACCAGATGAACAGGAACAACTGTGGACCGAAAATGATGACATTATGATGGTAACCGTTAATAAGAAAATCGGTGATGCTATTGTTCAGGTGCCTCAGAAAATGATTTTGTTTTCCATCTACGAACAAGTTTTAAGGGAATCACAGGCCAAGGATAGTTTTGTTAACACAGCTCAGCAAAAGATTACACATTTGGAGAATATTTTGAAATTAAAAGAGGAAAGAATAGAGGAGTTGTGTAATCAATTGGCTAAAGTATCGGTGAGAAGTTTATTAACACAACATAATTTAGAAAATTCCAGTTCCAATATAAGTTTGCTATTGGAGCCAAACTCTTTGAATTTAAGAGGAGGTATTAAAAATAATAATGCCATTGATGAGTGCATTATGCATGTTATAGATCAACAAACTTGAGTTCCACCTTATAAGTTGTTACTAATATAATATTCAAATACAATCTATAGTTTTTAAACTAAAACTAAAAAGTTATTTTTTTTTATTTCTTTAGGAATCCATAACAGCTTCCACTTTATGTAGTTGCATACCGAAACGTGTTAAACCTATAGCAGGTACTTCAGGTGTAGAAGAATCATTTGGTCAAATACCCGAACCACCCAATTTAGTATCACTTGTGACTAAGGAAAACTAAAGAAGTTAATTTGAAGTGTTAGGGTAGATTGATTAATATATTAAATTTTCTGTTAATTAAAAATTTATTGTTAATTTTTCTTAAGTAAAATACAAAATTGAAATTGTGTTATAAATATTTTAGTGATAACGAGTTTTTACTATCGATATGTAATTTCAAAAAAGAATAATATAAGCGATGTGCGTTTTATATTTGTTGGGGGATTTGATTCGTGATAATAATCGTTAATGGGTATTAAGTTTCAATGTTAAAATAGAAAAAGCTTTGTAAATTATACTTTTACAAAGTATTTTTAACATTAACATTGAGAACATGGATCGATTTTGTAATTATATTTGTTAATTAAAATTTTCGAACTTGTATGCATATAGTATGCATATAGTATAGTATGTTGTAATTCGTATGTATATGGTTTGATGGAATTATACCCTGGTATTAAATAGATTTCGAGACCAAAAGAGTTGAGTCAAACTCAATCGATAGCAAACGGAATCCAAGGAAGCTGATTAATCGAACATTTTTATTCTTTTATTTAGGGCTGGGATCATATATGGCCTGTAAACAATATATAACCAAAAACAAACCTTACCGTGAGCTCCCTAGCTCTTTCCTTTTGGATTTATACTGCTTTTAAAAATAGACAAACGAAAAATCTTGTAAAGACCCGCTTTGATAACGGGAAACGTTAGATTTAAACCGCCTTGAATTCAATGACAAGCATATCCCGCAGATGTTTAAAAAATGAGAAGATATTCCATGAAACCACAACATCCTTCTTCATAGCTTTAACTAAACATATTCCAAACTTGCCTAATAGATAAAAAAAACATTTGGTTGGTCAATAACTCAAGCTATATGGATTTAGAGTCGTGGGTGGCTCTTAGAACATTGGCATGTTATACGGTACATTTGCTGTTTACTATTTGACTATGTTGGGTCACCTGCAATGTGCATGGTAATGAAGTTGCTGAATGATCTAGCTATATTAGGTTCGAACCTGGACATAGCTGATAGAGATAGAAGAGTAACAACACTTATCTGTCACTTCTTCATTCATTCTTCGACTGGGTTTTATAGCGAGACTCAGATTCTCTCACAATTTTTTTAGGGAATCGATTTGGTAAAACTTCCATGTTGTAACCCCTTGAGCGTTGACCTGTTTTTATTCCTCTTACCTCTCTACTAATGATCTTTTTGTTTTCTTCTAGTGTTTACACTCTATGATGGTAATGGACTTTATGGTCTCTGAGTGGAGTTGCACCTTTTTATGGGGCATAACCGAAGTATCCTAACATCTTATGTTGAAAACAAACCAGAATTTCTACTAACTCTCTAATCTCTTTCATCTTACAGATACCTATCATGATTGTAAGAGAACGCTAAAGGGTTTAATGGAGAAACTACCAACAATTTAGCTTAGAACCAATCTATCCAAGAAAACCAGAATAAACTACAGGTTGTCGAAGTTGTAGACGTTCACTCGACAACTAAATCTTCGCTTTACTTTAGTGGGGAGGGTATATTGGGATTGTTCTGATGTTTGTAACATACAAAAATATTCGTCCTATACCTTAAAGTATACCAATCGGCTTAGAATCGTTTTCTGAGTCGATTTAGCTATGTCCGTCCATCCGTCTGGCTGGCTGGCTGTCCATGTAAACATTGTGCGCATGGTACAGGTCGCAATTTTCAAGATAATTGGATGAAATTTGGCACACACGCTTTTTTCAATAGGACGAAGCCTATTGAAAATGGTTAAAATCGGTCCATTATTTCACCTAACCCCCATACAACAGAACCCCCCGAAAAGGGCTTCTGAGCTTATAATTATGTTAAATATAGCTGTATATAAAAAGCGGCACAACAAAGTTTTATACAAGCCTTGATGACTTTACCAAATTTCATAAAGATCGGGCCTCATTTGACCCTGGCTCCCATACAAAGTCCTCTTCCGAAAATTACTTCGATGTCCAAAATTAACTTATCGCGATGAAATTCAGCACAAATAAATATATAAATATAAATATATTCACAAAACTTTATCGGACTTGGTCCATATTTGCCCCTAGCCCCCATATAAAGCCTCTTTCAGAAAATTAGTTTTTCATCCATAAATTGCTTAAATGTATCGGAACAATGAATTATTATGAAAAATAAATCACATTTATTATTCATAACTGGTGTAGGGTATCATATGGTCGGTCACGCTTTACAGATACCCACTACGATTGTAATGGAAGAATTGTGTTAAGCTTTTGTACAATGTTGAAGGACTTGCTGCATATGATTCAAAGCTATCGTTTGATATCTTAAAGAACTTGAAGAAACCATAAAAAATTTAGCTTAGAATCAATATTATCAAGGAAACAAGAACCCACGACATTTGGATCTTCGCTCCGAAACGAATCGATTCTCAATTGGCGAAATATTGTATACTCAGCAATAGCTGCATCAACCAGAACTTTTTTCCCCTGGGAAGACTTTCCAACAGCAGCGAGACTGCTACAACAACAGGATATTCTTTTCAAAAATGACAAGATTCATAATCTAAGAAAGATTCCCTAGGAATAACTACCAATTTCGAATTGACTTTTACAACAACAGCGTGTCGAGCATCTTGTGGTATAGTTTATATGATACAGAGGTAGTATGAAAATCACCAACCACGAAGATCCACTATTAATTTTAAGTTAGATGAAAACATTCGGAAATGTAGAGGGAATGAGGGACACTTTATTGCCAGATTTGGCTGAATGCAATGTGTGAATGACAGACAGTATTGTGTCTAGACTCTAAAGAAATAAATAAGTTTTCTATCAGTTATTCGATGGCTTCACATCTTTGAAAAGATTCCTCCGTGAAGGGCTTTTTTAATTTCATATTTCTACCAAAGAACTAACACAAAATTTTTGACATAGTTTTTAAAGATTTTAAACAAAAAATCTCCATTATTTTACATTTGTCCTAAATTTATTAAAAAGGTAAAAAAAAAGACAATTTGCAATTTCCAAAGAAAAATTTCCTGATTTCGAGAATAACACTTTAAAGTTAAACAACTTACCTGAATTTGTGATGCATGTAAGTCCATGGTTATAATGTGATCTGCACCGGCCACTGATAGCATATTTGCAACCAATTTCGCCGAAATGGGAGCACGACTCTATAAGAAACACATTAAATAAAGAAAAAAACGAGAAGAAAGAAAAAAAGAAAAATTTTAATTAATACAACAATTAATAATGATTAAAACTATTAAATAAAATAATCGTTTTTTTTTTAATGAAATTTCAGTAATGGCGATTATGATTTGACTGACGAGTAAATACGAGTATTAAGTAAAAAACCATTTTAAATTTTTTTTCTCATTAATGATGACAAAAGACGCTGACAAATGATGACTGACCAATGAGAACCATGAGAAAATTTTGAAATTTACCCTTTGAATTAAATTAATTTTTAAACAAACAAAAAAATTAACAATTTTAGAAGAAAAAAAAACAAATCACATAAATTATAAAAAAATAATAATTTAAAATATAAATTAATTTTAAATTAAAAAAAAAACTACTACTTTGACTAAATTTTGTTTTTAATTAAATAAAATTAAAGTGATTTGAAACATAAATTTTGGACTTAAAAGGTGAAACATGTTTTCTAATTTGGAAAAAATGCAAAAAAGTGCTTTAAGAAACGGTGTGTAAAGGGTGCAGGGGAAGTAAAAAATATAAAAATGTTGTGGTAGTTTTTTTTTACTTTTACATATAAGAAGAATCTAGTAAAAAAATATTAAAAATTATATTTAATTTATCATGCAAAACTTCATACAAAATAGATATTGAAATTTATTTTTTATTAAAAGGGGAAGTTTACCAAAAATTTTGGGAAAATGTTTAATAAAAAAATCACAATTAACTAATAAATCAAACCGAACTAAAGAAAACATATATATTTAGTTAAAGAAAAAAAAAGAACAGCGTGTCCAAATGTTTTTTGAAATTTATTAGAATTTTGTTTCACCAGAAAAGCTTAAAAGTTTTATTATTGAAAAAAGAAACATAAAAGCTGCTTTTTTTTTGAGAAAAAATGTCGTTGTAGTTGGGGACCTCTAAATAGTTCCTTAGCTACTCACAGTATATTGTTTAGCTGAAAATTCCTAAAAAGACATTTGGAAAGAAAAGTAAAAAAAGAAAAAAGGTGAAACATAAAGTTCAGAAATAGAGTTTTAACACAAAAAACTAAAGAAAAGTTACAGAAAAGATCCAAAGAGGCGGGGGATATAGTCGTAGGAAAGTTGGAAATTCAGGTAACGAAGGGGGACTAAAAGAAAAAAGTAGAGGATGAGGAAAAGGTTTCCCTGAAAACTATTATCTACCGTGCTTAGTGGCTTCTTTTCTTTTGGTGATAATAAAGACAGTGTGTTAATCAAACAGGCGGTCAAGGAGTTTATTTTTGTTAAAATTGAAAGGAATTGCTTTTACTGTTTAAAAAATATGAGCAAAATACATAACAAAATCTCAAATTAAAATAAATTTCGAGTTAATGCTTTCAATCGACATACATTTTACTTTCAGTGCTACAAAGTCCATTCTTTTGTAAAAAAATAACCCTTAGATACACTTGAGTCAAAACTAGTCAAATTTATTAAAACGCTTTAAAAAATATATCTAAAGTTTTTCAAGAAATATTCTAAAATTTCAATTGAGTCTAGATATATTGACTAGACCATAGACCAGACTATAGATTAGAGTATAGACTACACTATAGGCCAGACTATAGACTAGTCTATAGTCTAGTCTATAGTCTAGTCTATATTCTAGACTATAGTCTAGTCTATAGTCTAATCTATAGTCTAGTCTATAGTCTAGTCTATGGTCTAGTCTAATCTATAGTCTAGTCTAGTCTAGTCTATAGTCTAGTCTAGTCTAGTCTAGTCTATAGTCTAGTCTAGTCTAATCTAGTCTATAGTCTAGTCTAGTCTATAGTCTAGTCTATAGTCTAGTCTATAGTCTAGTCTATAGTCTAGTCTATAGTATAGTCTAGTCTATAGTCTAGTCTATAGTATAGTCTATAGTCTAGTCTATAGTGTAGTCTATAGTCTAGTGACTAGACTATAGACTAGACTATAGACTAGACTATAGACTAGACTATAGACTAGACTATAGACTAGACTATAGACTAGACTATAGACTAGACTATAGACTAGACTATAGACTAGACTATAGACTAGACTATAGACTAGACTATAGACTAGACTATAGACTAGACTAGACTATAGACTAGATTAGACTAGACTATAGACTAGACTAGACTATAGACTAAACTAGACTATAGATTAGACTAGACCATAGACTAGACTATAGACTAGACTATAGTCTAGTCTATAGTCTAGTCTATAGTCTAGTCTATAGTCTAGTCTATAGTCTAGTCTATAGTCTAGTCTATAGTCTAGTCTATAGTCTAGTCTATAGTCTAGTCTATAGTCTAGTCTATAGTCTAGTCTATAGTCTAGTCTATAGTCTAGTCTATAGTCTAGTCTATAGTCTAGTCTATAGTCTAGTCTATAGTCTAGTCTATAGTCTAGTCTATAGTCTAGTCTATAGTCTAGTCTATAGTCTAGTCTATAGTCTAGTCTATAGTCTAGTCTATAGTCTAGTCTATAGTCTAGTCTATAGTCTAATCTATAGTCTAGTCTATAGTCTAGTCTATAGTCTATATGGACTAGTCTAGTCTATAGTCTAGTCTATAGTTTAGTCTATAGTCTAGTCTATAGTCTAGTCTATAGTCTAGTCTATAGTCTAGTCTTTAGTCTAGTCTTTAGTCTAGTCTTTAGTCTAGTCTATAGTCTAGTCTATGGTTTTAGACTTTACGCAACACCATAAGCAATATAATAATCTACACTAATGACTAAAAATAGTCCGGACTAGAGACAACACTATATTTCAGGTTATTGACAATATTACAGTATAGACAATTGAGAAGACTATGGGCCAGACTATAGACAAAAATATAGTCTAAGACATACTGCAGACTATAGCGCAGATTATACCACAAATAGTGCTAGCTATAGACAATATCCACTCTATTGACAACACTATAGTCTCAACAACTGGCAAGACCATACTATTGACAAGACTTTAATCTATACTCTACAAATTTCACATTTCAATATAATTGTTAAACTGTTGATTCTGCCCAAATATTTTGGAAAGTCTACATAGACTTTGAGGTAACGCTTCAGTAAAGACTTGAAAATTTCGATTTGTAGTTAAAATCGTTTAAAAAGAATAACTGATTAAATTTAAAAATAATCTTATGAGTTCCTTCAATCAATTTAGCTAAGAAAATTAAAATGTATATTGAGTTCCAAAATTGATAAAAGTAAAACAAAGCTTATCATAAAAATAATGACCCCAGAGATCAGGAGATAATTAAAAATAAATAATTATTTGTTTAAAAGACGTCAGAACGAAACAAAATAAATATAAATATTAGCCCTCAATATCACTCGTAAAATAGTACAAATATGAAAAATCTGCACAGTAGGGCCGTTCGCAGTAAAATAATGAATATACATCGAGTTAATAACTAATCATAGGGATAAGCTTTGATGTAACTTTGATATGTATACAGTTCATATTTTTTTAAATTTTAACCGCGATATGTACTCAAGTGGCAGTGACTTTTTAATTAAATATTTCCAAAACGAATTCAAAACTCTTATTGAGAACAAATGCACTTTCAAAAAACAAAAACATTTAAGGACACTAAATACAAATAGTATTAAAAATTACAAAACGACACTTTATATCACAAGTAATTAATTAATTCATTAAAAAAACTTAGTAAATATGTATGTATGTATAAGTATGTAAATGTAAATAATCTGCAAAAAAAAATAAATATTAAAAACCCCTTAAATTCTTTTAGTACAAAGACATCACAAATTAATTAAACCAAATAATATTGTTGGAAAAAATTTCGTTATTGCAATGAAACTAAAAGTTTGTTCATAATTTTATTTTTTTTTTCTTGTGGCAAACAAAAACTAAAATTAAGAACAACAAATCAAATGTGGAAAAAAGATAATTTGGAAAATATTTTTGGAAAACGAATTTTGTTTAAGAATTTTTCTTTCAAGCCAAATTAAAGCAAATTTTGTACAAAATTATGTTTTTTGTCTGATTAATTGTGCATTTCATTGCAAAAATTATTACTGAAAAGGAAATAATTGAAATTATTATAAAAAAATTAAATAAATATTATAACAAATTATATAAACATGCATAATTTATACTTTAATAATGAATTTAAAATTAAAAAACAACAAAATAGAGACAAAAATTAAAACACACAAAAAATTATTTAGAATTTTTTAGGTCCACATTTTCATCAAGGGATTTTCTTGTTCATATTTTATATTACAAATCCAATTTATTTTATGTTTATAAAAGTCTATAGACTACACTATAGCCTGTACTATAAGTAGTATATAGATATGATTGCAGTACAGACTATATAGTTCAGGCTATAGACCAAACTATATACCACACATTAGTCCAGACTATAGATTATAATCCAGACCATAGACTGGACTATATTTTAGACTACAATTCACATTAAAGTCCAGATTATATACTAGACTATTATCTAATATACAAACAAGACTGTGGTTTGGATTATAGTCCACACTATTGACTTGACTGCTTGACTGAAACTATAGACTACAATATAGACTATACAACAGACCAGCCTATAGATCAGTCCAATCTATAGACTAGGCTATACTGCAGACTTTAGATTAGTCTTTTATCCAAATTGTATACTATATATACAATACTATCTTACAGACTATAGACAAAACAATAGTCCAGACTATAGACAAGACTATACTACAGACTAAAGTCAAGGCTATAGACAAGACTATAGTATAGAATATAGGCAAGACTATAGTCCAGACTATAGGCAAGACTATAGTCCAGACTATAGACAAGTCTATATTTAAGACTATAGACAAGACTATAGTCCAGACTATAGTTCAGACTATAGACTAGTTTCCTAAATTATCTGGAATATAGACTTGTTTATAGTCTGAACTATACTCTTTATAATGTAGTCTATAGTCTGGACTATAGTCTTGTCTATAGTCTGGACTGTAGTCCTGTCTATAGTCTATACTATGGACTTGTTTATAGTCTGGTCTATAGCCTAATCTGGACTATAGTATTATCTATAGTCCGGACTATAGTATTGCCCATAGTCTGGACTATAGTCTAGTCTTGCCTATAGTCCGGACTATAGTATAGTCTTGCCTATAGTCTTGTCTATAGTCTTGTCTATAGTCTGGACTGTAGTCTTGTCTATAGTCTATACTATGGACTGTTTTATAGTCTTTAATATAGACTTATTTATAGTCTAGACTATAGACCAGTCTATATTCCAGACTATAAACAAGTCTGGACTATAGACTAGGGTCCTAGGAGGATCCAGTCTATAAACAAGTCTATATTCAAGACTATAAACAAGTCCAGACTATAGACAAGACTATAGTCCAGACTATAGACAAGACTGATTATAGACAATTTAATAGTCCATTCTATAAGCCAATATATAACCCAGACTACAGCACAGACAATAGACTAAACTGTACTCCAGATAATAGTCTAGATTATAGACTCTACTATAGTCCATACCATAGTACAGTCCAGACTATAGATTAGTATAAACTTTTGTCTATAGTTTAGTTTACAGTATAAACTTTAGTATAAGAAATCCACAAAAATTTCTCCATTTTGAAAATGTGTACATAAATATTTCTTAATATAAACAAAACTTTTTTATAAAACATTACCTTTTGTTTAATTAAAGTTAAACTAATATCAAATGATTGAATTTAATACTTAATTAATTAAAATGTTAATTTATATTTAAACAAAAAATTTTGTACAAAATATGCTTGAATATGAGACGAGATTAATTATTATCGCTGTTTATTAAATTATTCACCGAAATATTATAATTTTTAAAGTAAAAAAATTATGGAAAATAAATAAAATTGAAACAAATAATACCCTAAATTTCCAATCGAAGTTTTTTAAACGCTTTTCACCGCCATCATCTGAGCCAGCCAGCTAAAGAAAATCAACAAATTAAAGTTAATTAATATAAAACAGGATAGTTTAGGAAACTTTACGACTAGAACATAATAATCATTATTATCTTCATCCACATTTGTTTTGTAATTGTTACCTGCATTTTTGAGAAATTCAATATTTCTTTCTTACTATTTGCTTTTTTTAAAAAACATCAAAATGCAAAAAACAAATTAAAAGCATTTTCAACAAATACAGAGAAATTTTAGAATTTAATTAAAAAATAAAAAACACTTATTAAGTTTTTTTTATAAATAAATCAAAAAAGGGGAAAAAACAACAAATTGTTTTTAAATTATGAAAATAATTTGAATAAAAAAACCAAAAATAAATTATAAATAAAAAATAATTTGTAAAAACAACATATTAATCAAGAAAATTCACAGTTAGTGTTGTAGTTGTTGTTTCTCGCTCTCTCTTTTTCAAAATAATTTACACTTTTATAATGTATTTTAATTTAAAAAAAATTTGTAATTTAAATCCCTGTTTTATTTATAACTAACCTTATCTTTTTTATCTTGGCGGGCATATGGGAAACAAGGAATCACAGCTGTAACACGAGATGCTGAGGCAATCTTGCATGCATTGATCATAATCAGCAACTCCATTAAATTATCGTTAATCTCACCGGAACCAGATTGTACAATATAGACATCTTCGCCACGTACAGATTCACCGATTTCAACACTAAAAGAGAAAACAAAGAAATACAAACGGACTTAATAAAATATTTTTGTTTGAAGTTGCAGAATTTGATATATTTTTAATCGAAAACAAAGTTGTTTTACAATCCTAATTTTGTTTCAAGTCCTTTTGTATTTAAACTTAGTTTAACAATTAGTTTTTCTACTCTGTTTTAGACTTCATTTCAGGTATGGAAAACTGAAATAGTACTAAAGTACTAAACAAATTTTCCGCTAGACTATAGACAAGGCCAAGCCTGAGTAACAATCTTGTCGCGATGCGAGGGCTTACGTATATTCCGTGGTCATGGTCTCTCTGGCTTAGGAGACTTTAATACTCTTTCTCACGGGTGGTCATGACTCTAAAGGACTCTATAGACTAGACTATAGACTAGACTTAGACTAGACTAGACTATAGACTAGACTATAGACTAGACTATAGACTAGACTATAGACTAGACTATAGACTAGACTATAGACTAGACTATAGACTAGACTATAGACTAGACTATAGACTAGACTATAGACTAGACTATAGACTAGACTATAGACTAGACTATAGACTAGACTATAGACTAGACTATAGACTAGACTATAGACTAGACTATAGACTAGACTATAGACTAGACTATAGACTAGACTATAGACTAGACTATAGACTAGACTATAGACTAGACTATAGACTAGACTATAGACTAGACTATAGACTAGACTATAGACTAGACCATAGACTAGACTATAGACTAGACTATAGACTAGACTATAGACTAGACTATAGACTAGACTATAGACTAGACTATAGACTAGACTATAGACTAGACTATAGACTAGACTATAGACTAGACTATAGACTAGACTATAGACTAGACTATAGACTAGACTATAGACTAGAGTATAGACTAGACTATAGACTCGACTATAGACTAGACTATAGACTAGACTATAGGACCTAGACAATAGATTAGACAATAGATTAGACTATAGACTAGACTATAGACTAGACTATATACTATGCTATAGACTAGACTATAGACTAGACTAGACTATAGACTCGACATAGACTCGACTATAGACTTAGACTAATAGACTAGACTATAGACTAGACTATAGACTTAGACTAGTAGACTAGACTATAGACTAGGACTATAGACTAGACTATAGACTAGACTATAGACTAGACTATAGACTAGAACTATAGACTAGACTATAGACTAGACTATAGACTAGACTATAGACTAGACTATAGACTAGACTATAGACTAGACTATAGACTAGACTATAGACTAGACTATAGACTAGACTATAGACTAGACTATAGACTAGACTATAGACTAGACTATAGACTAGACTATAGACTAGACTATAGACTAGACTACTATAGACTAGGACTATAGACTAGACTATAGACTAGACTATAGACTAGACTATAGACTAGACTAACTAGACTAGACTATAGACTAGACTATAGACTAGACTATAGACTAGACTATAGACTAGACTATAGACTAGACTATAGGACTATAGACTAGACTATAGACTAGACTATAGACTAGACTAGACTTAGACTACTATAGACTAGACTATAGACTAGACTATAGACTAGACTATAGACTAGACTATAGACTAGACTATAGACTAGACTATAGACTAGACTATAGACTAGACTATAGACTAGACTATAGACTAGACTATAGACTAGACTATAGACTAGACTATAGACTAGACTATAGACTAGACTATAGACTAGACTATAGACTAGACTATAGACTAGACTATAGACTAGACTATAGACTAGACTATAGACTAGACTATAGACTAGACTATAGACTAGACTATAGACTAGACTATAGACTAGACTATAGACTAGACTATAGACTAGACTATAGACTAGACTATAGACTAGACTATAGACTAGACTATAGACTAGACTATAGACTAGACTATAGACTAGACTATAGACTAGACTATAGACTAGACTATAGACTAGACTATAGACTAGACTATAGACTAGAGTATAGACTAGACTATAGACTCGACTATAGACTAGACTATAGACTAGACTATAGACTAGACAATAGATTAGACAATAGATTAGACTATAGACTAGACTATAGACTAGACTATATACTAGACTATAGACTAGACTATAGACTAGACTAGACTATAGACTCGACTATAGACTCGACTATAGACTAGACTATAGACTAGACTATAGACCAGACTATAGACTAGACTATAGACTAGACTATAGACTAGACTATAGACTAGACTATAGACTAGACTATAGACTAGACTATAGACTAGACTATAGACTAGACTATAGACTAGACTATAGAATAGACTATAGACTAGACTATAGACTAGACTATAGACTAGACTATAGACTATAGACTAGACTATAGACTAGACTATAGACTAGACTATAGACTAGACTATAGACTAGACTATAGACTAGACTATAGACTAGACTATAGACTAGACTATAGACTAGACTATAGACTAGACTATAGACTAGACTATATAGACTAGACTATAGACTAGACTATAGACTAGACTATAGACTAGACTATACACTAGACTATAGACTAGACTATAGACTAGACTATAGACTAGACTACAGACTAGACTACAGACTAGACTATAGACTAGACTATAGACTAGACTATAGACTAGACTATAGACTAGACTATAGACTAGACTATAGACTGGACTATAGACTAGACTATAGACTAGACTATAGAATAAACTATAGACTAGACTATAGACTATAAATCAGACTATACTACACTAAAACTAGATTATAGACTGGAATATACACAAACTTCCAACTTCGAATTGAAGAATTATTATCTAAATAATATATCAGATAATAGATCAGTTCTTTAACTGAACTATCTCAATATTTTCAATCTAGCTTTTTAAGATTTCACTGTTCCCATAAATCATGTGCATTAATGAAAAATTATTTCTATCAAAAGCGGAAATTTGTATTAATTAATATTATTTCATATTGAAAACTAACCTCCCTCCACCCATCCTCCCCAACTATTAAATGTCAAAAAATTTCTATAAAAAGTTTGATCGATAGAGAAATCAACATTTTTGTACATACAAATGTACAAATATATTTGTACTTTAAGAATATTTAAACGTAAAATTAAAATATACAAAAAGCTAACTAGACATTCTGACAGACAGACGTACCCACTAACATCATCATCACCCAAAAACACGTCACATTACCAAATCAATATCATGTCTCTTACATGCAATATTGCCATTGTTGTTTATCTTTGCAGGAAGAAAACAAGAGTAGCAAAACAAAACAGAAATAATAATATTAAAAACTAAAACAAAATTATATTAAAAACTAAAATTATATTTAATAACAATATTGGAATGTTTAACCTTCAATTAACCAAAAACATTAATAATAATAGAACATCAGAGAAATCGAATAAAAATGTTATATTGACGTCAGATTCAAAGGAGGAAAATATATACATATAAAGATACATACTAATATTAAATGCGAAAAAACACACTAAATATTTTGATATATTTTTTATTTAATAGCAAAAATTTGCGAAATATGTAAGAAATTTTTGAATTCCTAAAGGGGGCTGCATACAATTTGTTAGTTTAGCAACCAATTACAGAATGTCTAAAGCGTGGTAATAGCTAAAGTAATAGCAGCTTTGTAACCGATTACATAACTAATTATGTGTCAGTAGTTTCCTATTATTTCTATAGATATTAATCGTTCTTTGTATCTATGTTTACAGAAATATCAATTAACACAAACTGTTGTTAAACCCTGTACATATTTTATGTCACTTTGCTTTTATATTTGACGGAATAGTTAGAATTCAAGCATTAAATTATATTAGCCATTCTTCTGAAATTGTTCGTATAGTGTTTAAGAAAAATAACATACATTTTTCTAAAACTGCAACGACTTGTAGACATAGTACCAATTCGTTATTTTTTGACTTTTCAGATGTTAATTTCAAACATTATGACATTTGAAGAGACGAATTTTTAAAATCAAGGTATTCAAAATACAATTTTCATCCTGGTAGATGATACAAATACAGAATCATTAAATGTCGGTGACTTTTGGAATAATAACATCAAAATTCCAATGATTTAAAACAAAAAGACGGCTTTATGACACACAGTGGTATAGGAAAAAAAAGAGGGAAATAATTCGGTAACTTCTAAACGGTAAATCCGATTTTGATGATTATTTTTGATTATTTTCATCCATATATGTAACAAATTTAAGAGTTAACCTTATGGATGAAAATAATAGTGCTAGGTAAATTTTCTAAAAGATGTTGAGTTTTCCCTAATTAATTTGTCACTTAAAAAACATTAGGTAGGCATTTATATATCAATGGAAAGGTAATTTTGTCTATTTTTCAAAAATGTATATAATTTTTGAAAATTAAAAAATTCGCGGAATACTTTTTTTATAAAAAATTAAAAAATGTTTTTTATTCAGTTTTTGCGAAGATACAAATTTTTCAAATTGCAATAAAAATTTTATTTATGAATATTTTTTGATGAAATTTTACAGTTAGGTAGATTTTTTTACTCAAAATCCAAAATTAAATAAAAATAGAAATCCCGGAATTCCCAAAAAAGTTTTAAAAAATCCCAAAAATGGGATTTTTTGGTTTTTTGCCTATTATATCCATACCAGGGGCGGGGTTATCGAAACCCGTTACAAAATGATTAAGAACATATTGGGTCATATAAAACAGGTCACTATAATTTGATATCGACTATGCGATTTGAGAATTTTTGCTCAAAATTGAATTTTCCATAAAAAATAGGGTTTTTTTGGATGGACCTGGTCCCCTCGGTATCAAAAATTTTTAGGTTTTGTTTCATTTATCGTATTTTGTGTAAAGTCAGCTTTTCAAAAAGTATAAATTCTATATACATCTTCATAGAAACTTTTTAGATAACTTAAAAAGAAAAAGAAACTTTTTTCCA